CATATCTGTTCAGAAACAGGACAAAAGTTAAACAAGTACAAACCACAGTGTCATGTCGTGTCTCCGCACAACCTGATATTCTTCTTCCACAAAGGTGAACACTGCTTTCAATTCTTCTGTACGTTTTGCAGATGAGGAAAAGTGACTGAATGTTTTGTTCACTACTAGCTCAATGTCAATGTTCAACCTGTCTCCAGCATGCTTTGCACTGTTGTGCACTATGTGGGCCATACAGTTAGCCTTAATGATGCCACTGTTGTCTGCTTTTAGCTTCTGGAAAACTGAATTGTTTCTCCCGTAATTTACACTTGCGTTGTCCGCAGTGTATGCTGAAATCATGTCAGGTTGCAGACCATTTTCTTCTAGCTTGCTTGTAATCTGGCGGTGTATGGTAGCAGCTGACTCATCACTATCCTCATAGAAGTCAAGGATCTTGCTTTTCAAACCCAACTCTGGGGTCCAATATCTCAGACAGTGGGAAGAGTTTTTTAGTGCCATGATTTGAAGCATCTGAAGCCACTGGTGTCTTTAACTCTGTCAAACAACTCTCCACAGAGGCAGGGGCAAGCACATCTGTTATTATGGACGCTGCTTTTGTACGACCACATGACATTTTCTTTGCTATCTCAGAGTCTGGAAAAAAGGTCGGCGCTAGCTTGTTACCACAGTCATTTGACCGGTATGATTGGGAGTGTTGCACTGTATGGTAAACACTGGTTATTTCTGCTGCTGTTACCTTGTCTGAGTGGCCATCATGTTTTGGTTTGAGTAGGAATGTCTCCATAGAGTGGGATGTCTCTTTTAGAGCGACACGTTTCTTGTGAGAATCACATTCTCTGTGTCTTTTGACGTCGTATTCACCGCCATGTGAAATTGAAAAAGTACTCTTGCAAAGATTGCAAAAAACTCTCTGAGAGTCGCCCTGCACTGGCTTCCCAGTCTTCGTTGTATGTGCATCTTCTTTTCTTCTTAGCTGTAGTTTCAGTTTCCTCCATTTTCCATAACCTGCTGCGTCGCATGTGTTATTGACTTTCATTGTTCGTTGTTTGGCGGGGCCGCGGGGGGGGGGTGTGTCAGTGTGTGAGTGAGTTACTCTCATTGGTTAACACTTGACTATGAGGGGCCGTTAGGGACATTATTCAGAAATACCGTTCACATACACTTGTGAAACACTCTCACACACACATGAAATCCAAAGTTATTCACATTTACATGTGAAACACTCTCACACACACATATGAAATGCTCTCATATACACATGAAACGCTCTCACACACACATGAAACACTCTCACACACACATGAAACACTCTCACACACACATGAAACGCTCTCACACACACATGTGAAACGCTCTCATACACACATGTGAAACGCTCTCATATACGCATGTGAAATGCTCTCACACACACATGTGAAACGCTCTCACACACACATGTGAAATGCTCTCTCACACACACATGAAACGCTCTCACACACACATGTGAAACGCTCTCACACACACATGTGAAACGCTCTCACACACACATGTGAAACGCTCTCATATACACATGTGAAACGCTCTCATATACACATGTGAAACGCTGAGTTCAGTATTGAATTAATTTGCTTTTCAGTTAAAAAAGGAAGGCCTTCCTGTCACATGAAGGAAACAGGAAGACTTCACTTTATGAATAGCATGACATTGCTAACATTTCAAAGAGCCCTTCTTAAACCAAAATGAATTTTCATCTGTTCCTCATTCTCGTTGTGTTTCAAGTACAAACTTTATTTTTTGCGGTGGAAGGAAATTAAGAGGATGTTTTACGTTTTTTTACTAGTGCTTTGCAATGCATTGAGTCACTGCAAACAGAAGAATCCAACAACTTTGATCAGGAGAGGCTGTATAGAATGCTTGATGACCACACAAGGACTCTATTTGCATATCTTAATGTTTCGAGGCAGGGTGAGGATAATACGGATGTCAGTAACCTTCTAGGATCCTTGTATAGATGTTTTCGCAACTTACTGCATGCACAGGAGACCAGACGGAGAACCACTGATGTGACAATCAATCTAATACCCCCAACGTCATTGCGGGGCCATGCAGGTCGACCCCAATACAGGATAACCGCTGAACAAATTTCCCACTGTGCTTCAATTGGTATGACATGGTCAAGAATTGCATCATGCTTTGGAATTAGTCGGAGAACCCTATTTAGACACAGGCAAACTCTGGGAGTTGAGCCATTAAGCTATGCAGTATTGTCAAATCAAGACCTGGACAGCATTGTGACAAACATACTACAGAACACACCAAATGCAGGGGAAGCATGTGTACTTGGAAGCCTGAGATCACGTGGCCTAAGAATTCAGCGCTGGCGGGTCAGACAAAGCCTGCATCAAGTGGATCCCATTGGGCGGTCTTTTAGACGTTGACATGCTATAAGACGAAGGGTCTACAGTGTTCAGGTCCCCAATCAATTGTGGTAAGTTGACTTGTAAACTGCTCAAATGTGCAGGTTTTAAGTACATGCTTACTTTAATGTATTGTATTTCTCCCAACAGGCATTTTGACGGCAACCACAAGCTGGTTAGGTGGCGGATGGTCTTTCATGGCTGTGTTGATGGCTTTAGCAGGACTATTGTGTACTTACGGTGCTTGTCTAACAACATGGCTTCAAGTGTCTTGTCATTATTTTTAGAAGCAGTAGAGAACTTTGGTTTGCCTTTAAGGGTCAGATGTGATCACGGTATGGAAAATATACGTGTTGCCCGTTTTATGTTGGAAAGAAGAGGATTAAACAGTCGTAGTGTTATTACAGGTGTTTCAGTACACAACCAAATAATTGAGAGACTATGGGCAGAACTAAATAGAGTTGTATCAAGACACTATGCAAACATTTTTACCTTCATGGAGGACCAAGGTATACTGGATTCATTAAATGAACTTCATCTTTTTTGTCTACATTACATCTATTTACCAAGACTCGAAAGCGCAGTAACAGAATTTGTCAACCAGTGGAACAACCATGGCCTTTCCACACAAGGGGGGCAGACACCTCTTCAGTTGTGGCATTCAGGTGTCATACACAATGTAGGAATTCATCCAGTTATAAATGACATTTTTGATGTCGACAACTTTTACGGTACTGATGAAGAGGGGCCATTACCTGAACTGCAAACAAATAACAACGTAATAATTCCAGACATCGATGTTACCTTAAATGAGACAATCATGAACAATATACAAGTTAATCCACTAGAAAATGATGGTAACCATGGCATTGATGTTTTCTGTTCACTTTTGCAATATTTTCAGTGAAGTCATTTTCAGGGCTCGACATTAACGACTGCCCGATGGCCCGGGGCCATCTAGTATTTAGCTCGGGCAATGAAGCCTCACCTGCTGGTTGCCCGATCGGGCAATCTATTATGCCAGTATCATGCAGCTCGCGGATCCAGTAATGAGTGACCCGACAGTAAAACTAAACATATCTATAACTAGTTTAGGTAGTTTGAGAGGTCATTAAAATAGCTACGTGTGATATTCTAACCTGAAGTGTGTGTTTTGTTCCGCTCACCGCTGCATGTGATCATGCAGAGCTGCGTGTCCACTCGTCAGCCTGCTCAGCTGATCTCTCTCTCCCGTCAGATTAGACTTCACTCGCGTTTATGTCCATATCGATCAGATCCAGCTAGTTCTAGCTAATGATATGACTACCTGCTTATTAAAAGACACCTACACAATAAGTGTCGCTATGCAACTGGGTGAGGTCACAAAGTATAGCGCAGCATTATGCATTTGTTTACATGCCCACCGGAACCCCGAGGCATTACAAACAGATCAACGCACAATCAACCCATACAGGACATCTATTTCTCTACATTACGTGTTAGACATTAGAATTGACTATTCTTGTCTGTCACATAAGTGGCGCAACTGAAGCGGTATTGTGCTAAAGGGAAATAATTTTGACCGGACATTTTGACCGAAGAGATTTAGATTTGCCGGCTAATGGGAACTATGACGTCGCCATTTTGTGTGCTTCGCGGATGCGCTCGGCTCCTCTCGACTGCTGCTCGGGTCTGCTCGGTCAGCTTCCGGATGAGGAGGCATTCGTTCGACCAACTTACAGTAGATAACATTACAAACATTTTTAACAGGGTTCATACTAGTGTAAATAATGTTTGTTTTGGCATTAATAACTGAATGTAATGTTTTCTACTTTTTTACATCTGATGAAGGCATTTGCCTTCATCAGATGGAAAGTGTCTTGACCAACAACTTAAGTGTTTCTTATAGCTATGCAGGGCATGCAGGCGAGCACACACAAACAAGAACAAACAAACAAGTGAAATGAAGAATAAAATTGAAATTGTACAATATAATATTGTGGTGGTTCATCTTATAATTCAGTCTAGAGAATGCACCAGACAGCATCTAAGACCTGCAAAAATCTAAATTTTCTAGGGGGACGGAGGCCCCCCAAACCCTTCGTGCCATTTTGTCCGCGCGCATTTTTCAGGGCAATCTCTATTGGGCTCAGGGCCATCTGTAAATTAGCTTAGATGGCCCACAGGGCCATCTCCCAAAATCCTTAATGTCATGCACTGATTTTGTAGATATCTTGTTTTGAAACAATAAATTAACATAAATAAACATTTGTTCAAAACTATGAAAAGGAGTTCATATCATTTCTTGTGCTCATTTTGCAAGAAAAGTAAGTACTGAATTATTAATGTTTGGAAGGTTTTTATTTTAAACATACCCACACATACACCAACTGTCTCCTGAGTGTTTCTTTTTATAGAAGCAAAACTTTATAACTTTCATCACTTTTAGGACAATTAACTCTCCTCATCCCATCCATTTGTTAAGGGACTTTCAATAATGTTACTACAGTAGTAATGTTTTTTCCCCTCAACAACACTAAACCAATTGCAGAGAAAACAAACAATCAAACCAACACCTTTCCTAACACAATCACCTGAATTCAAAATCAGCAACCTCTGATTTATTCATGACCTGCCAAACCCATATGTGTTCCCTAAAGCAAAATCAAACTTGTCTTTAAAGACTCCGTATGACTCATGTAGTGGCAACCTGATGCAGTTGACACATGTGTTGGCAATAGGAAACAATGGGGTTGAGGCAAAGTCATCCTCTCCATTGTGAATGAATTCGACCGAAGGTGTAGGGGAAAAGCCGATGGGTGGCACCACAGTTGCTCCTGTTGTGAAGGCCAATATTTTCTGTACTTTGGTTGGCCCTTCTTCTTCTATAAAAAAAAGAAAACACTATTTAGGGACCAATTAATCTGCATATTAAACTATTTTAAAGTAATAATACTCAAATGTAAATACAGACAATATTTTACTTGTTGTATAAACTGATAGTTACCTTCTGCATCCTGGAGATAGTCTCTCCAGTAGGTTACAACCCTCTCTTCTGCAGTTCTCTTGTTGCTCCCTTCTGGAGAGAGTTGAATGATGAAGAGATTGTCCATCTGGTCAGCACTGAGAAGATGTTCCTCGTAGCAGAACAACGGCTTAAAGCTGTCAGGATGTTTTCTGACTGCATCAAGTACACCAAGTGTCTTCATGCCTTCACAGAATCTGTGCACATTGCATGGGAAACATTTTAGTAATTTTGCAGAATTTAAATAAAGTTTCTTTTTAACTTATTATTTGACAATGTGTGTCCTTAAAAGTTTTAGCGAATTTAATCCTACACCATGTTGGTCAATTATTCAAATTGCCTATTCTGAATAACCTGACTAAATAATCAACACTGAATACCTTTGAAATGGACCTTGGACCCTGTGGACAACCTGAAACATCACTATGTCCTTAACCAGCAGCTCCCTGTCACTGTCTGAATGCACTGGCCTTAGACATCCTGCATTTGCCAGGTAGTCAAGTAGAGGTGCCATCGACTCCTCAAGCTCCTCAGCTGTTGTACTTTCAGATACCTAGCATCACAAGGAGTATCACGGTGGCTTGTTATGGAGGCTACTTATTATTATTCTTATATTCTTATAATTTATTTGTAAAAAAAATAGACAGAGGTCTGCAAGATGACATGATGCTGTCGGATCCCTAAACAGCTCATAGCTATGCACAGTTTTTCTTTCACATTGTTTATAAATGTGATAGAAAATATAATTGGCTGATTACACTTGTCTGTTAAATTATGGAATTCCAACTACAACACATGGAAAGTGAACATTCAGCAAAAGACTAGAGAGGACCCAAACTCTTTAACTTGCAACTGACCTTTCTGACTTTCTTAAGGAGTTCTGGATCAGCAATTTCCTCAAGAGCTGGATTGGCTGAACCCTTTACAAGTAGTGAGAAGATGGTTGGTGATAGGAAGTTTGGTGGAGGACCGCCATGCACCAAACTTACTGCAATTGCTCTTCCAGCTAAGTAGTACCGGTCCTCTCGTAGAGCTGCAAAACAATAATTAAAAAGAAAAATGTATATTGATAAATAAGTAAAGAATCCCTGCTACATAAAATCTTGGATTTTATTGTTATTTTAACTAAATTGTCAATCAATTTGAAAGTTGAATGTAAAGTCACCATACAATATAATACTATGCACAACAATGTTCCTTTATTAATAAAAAAAAAACCAAGTGATTACCAGTACTGTCAAGAGCCAGGCTTTTGCAGTTTTCCTTCCCCTCAAACATTGGAGATCTTGCGATGGTCTCCATCAGTAGCCGTAAGTACTCCCTCCTCGGCCCTCCTAAATCAATTCCTTCTTCCTGTCTCCCCATGTCATCAGAAAACTTGACATAAATGATCGAAGTGGGGTCATAGGATAGCCTTTGAAATCCCCGTGCGGCTCCCTCCCAGACAGCTGACCGATTAATATTAAATGTGCACTGTCGATTCGAATTAATTTTGCTTGAGAGTTCCAGCAGTATTTCTTTAGTAGGGACCTTTTCTGCACTATGAAGACAACAAAATTATTAAAAACATGGTTATATCACAATAACCCACATTCTGCTAATGTAAGCACCTACAAATAATTAAATATGAATTGTTAACATCAACATTTTGATCACACCATGCATATAAGTTCTCATGATCTCTCACTCAGATGCAGTGTATATGCTACTTACATTTGACACTCCATGCTGGCAATAATGGCCTTGTTAAATTCCTCATCATCAGAGGACTCTTGAGACAGTGTAGAGACAAGGTTTAAATATGACGAGTAGTCATAGCCACTTGTACCAGGGTTGCCATCTCTTGAAAGCCAGGCTGTAGTTTGACTGCTGGTGCCAGGGCTGCCATCCACTCCCTGACTCTCTCTACGCCTCTTTCTGCCACTGGTAGCTGGATCGTTGGTATCAGCGTCATCACTTCCAGTGCCAGGAATACCTTCACCATTATTGCTGCTTGGATAAGGGTCAGTAAAAGCGGCCCTGGTGGTGACACAGCTTCTTGTTACAGCAGGGATTACGCAGTGATCTTCATCGCTGTCCTTATCAGTGGATCCATCAGCGGTAGAAAGGTATTTTTCTTCCTCAGAGTCAGGCTTTGAAAGAGAAAGAAAACCAAAGATACCTAATTGATCAATTGTTTAATCGATTGAAATAAGAATACTTTGTTTAAACTCTTCTCAATTTCAATTGCAGTATTTGTATTTGAATATAAACTTTAGATTTCCATAAGCAGGTATTATGGAAAAGATAATTATACTTAAAGGGCCCATGTCATGCTTTTCTGGTTATTACCCGTCCCCTTGTGTGTTATGAAGGTTTTTCTGCATGTAAACGGTCTGCAGAGTCACAAACCCTTAAAGTACACCCTGTAGGGAGTAAAACTCTAACACAGAGAATACCTGTCTGTGCTGCCCTAGAACGCCTCGTTGGAGATTTCTGTTTTTCTTCCTGGTACTAAGTGACGTAACGACGACCCAAATGGACCCATTGGTCCAAATGGACCAATCCGTGGAGCTCCTCACAAAAACACACTCTTTTAGTGGCGAAAATGTGCTGTATGAGAAACCAATGTGAGTTTGGAAAATTGCACAATGTAAATCTATTCTAGTAGACCTCAACAATGGAATTATGATCAGTATAAATGGCCATGACATGGGACCTTTAATATATAAGGTATTAATATAATTATAATGTTATCTATTGGGTACTAAAAAAAACAAAAATGCAAACTTACTAAAAGGGTCCTTGATGGTCTGAGATAGAGGGCTTTGGTTTTAAAAATCTTGTGGATAAGCATCCCATTCAGCTCCTGACCCTCTTGGATGTTAGGGATCACCAACTTATTGCCACAAGACATCACAAGCTGGAGGCTACAAAAAAGATAGGACATATTACAAATACAAAAAATACTTTACTGCTATACCGGCTTAAAAATACGATGTATACTGGTGTTTAGTGTGTATGTGTTTCCCCTAAATAAATGTGATTATTTTATTAATTTACAAATCAAGAAGGAAGAAAATAGGTTTACCTGACATCTTCTGGTATGCGCTCACCAAAGCCATGTCTGATGTGCTCCATTACAGTTTTGTGGTCCCAGGCCTTTTGAAACTCGAATGCACTCAGAATGTGCCCATGTTGGTGTAGCCGTAATTTCGGTTTTTGTTTTACGACAACATCCACGGATGGATTAGGAAGTAGAACAACATCCTTATTAAAATGGCCATGCGGCTGTGCCTTAGTTCTGAAATAAGAGTGAACAATGCATTATCAGCATACAACTATACTACATGAAGGCAACAGATAAATCATACTGCCATAATAAATACCCAGATTACAGTAGACCAGAGTACTTATTCCTTTGCTTTATAAAAAAGAAATAAAATGCCCATGTTATTTAGTATAGTTTTGTTTTAAACCAAAACTAAAGTGCATCTAGAAGATAACCAGAAGAGTAACATATCTACCAGCCTTACACCTTAAAAGATGGTTTGGAATGACATTAAACCAATAAATATACGAGTATTACGGTTTTTTAAGGTAGAAATCATACAGAATGATGACATTATTATAAATGATATTAACAGTACCAAAATGATTTTTGTAGAGTATTCGCATTTGGTCTCTGCTGTCTACAGGGGTTGTCTAGTTATCGTTGCTCCGTTACTACCGTCTATGGTTACTACCAAGGTTATTAAACCAAGTTCCAAGATAAACATCACTCGTTTATGAGATCAAACAATTTAAAACTCTGAATATTTATAATTGCCTTTTTCTCCTCGAGCCAGATGTCCATGTGCCAAAGCAGTGTTGTGCTTGATAGCGGGGTGCACAGTCTCTCCCTACAAGGGGAGCTGTAGTGGAACGTTGCCCGCCGCGGGACGGGAAGAGGGACGATAGCTGACTGTCCAGGGTGTTCCCACTTGCAGCTCCAACAGTCGTTTGCGGCCCGGTTGTGGCGACGTTCGATAGCGTTCGAATAGTCTCAGCTGAGGCCAGAATACTACTTAGCAACGCTGCTGCATCAGTTAAACTTTGTGCAGGCTGCTGAGCAGACATGTTGAAAAATATTGTTTTCGCTTTTTTTTTAAATTCGCGGTTCTTCGCTGTTTTTTTAAAACGACTTCCTGTTCAACTGAAATGCCTTCCGGTTCAACTGAAATCCCTCTCACACAACATACTGAAATCCCTCTCACACAACATACTGAAATCCCTCTCACACAACATACTGAAATCCCTCTCACACAACATACTGAAATCGCATTTCGTGTGTGTGTGTGTGGGTGTGTGTGTGTGTGTGTGTGTGTGTGTGTGTGTGTGTGTGTGTGTGTGTGTGTGTGTGTGTGTGTGTGTGTGTGTGTGTGTGTGTGTGTGTGTGTGTGTGAGAGTGCGTTTCACATGTGTATATATATGAACCAGTTTGATGTGTGTGTGCGTGCGTTTAATATGTGTGTGTGAACGGTATTTCTGAATAATGTCCCGTACGGCCCCTCATACTTGACCAGCACCCGCCATGTGTTACAGTTTGATTGACAGCAAACACAGGGGTGTGTGTGAGAGAGTTACTCTCATTGGTTAACACTTGACCGGCAGCACTCGCCGTGTGTTACAGTTTGATTAACAGCAAACACACCCCCGTGATGATAGCCTTCCCTGCTTTCTCAACAGCCATTGGATAAATCTGATTTTAGAAAAGCGTTTTAGCCAATCGAAATGAAATATGCGGGACATCGTCTCAATTTGCGGGACGCACCAAAAGTCGTGAAAATGCTGTGCAGTCCCGCGCAAAGCGGGACATCTGGTCACCCTATTGGGGGTCCCTGGCCTAGGTTAGTGGGAAGGGCATTGTGCCCAATCTTGGTCTTGCAGTGGCACAAGCCACACAGTCTTCATGCTTGTTTTCCTTAGCATAATACACTACCCAGTCTACCCATGTATTGGTGTCTGTATACCCTGTCTCTACGGCCATTGTCTGCTGAACATGACTGGACTATTTTCAGAGCTAGGGGCTGCAGTCGGGGCCTGTTTTTCAACCATAATTCTGGTTTTAAGTAGGTAATGATGGCCTGGACGATATCATTTGATGTTATATTTCCCTTTCATATCAATTATGGGGTCTGGTATGGACACTTACCATATATTGTCTTTGGGGGGGCCGTTGTTCGGCATTTAACACTTTTGGCAATGAGGAAAATGTTCCCAAACCAGCGATGTTCTGTGTTTTTTAATTCGTCAGGCGCAGCATTGGCGAATATACCACTCCAGCCGCCACACGGGTTATCACATAGAGACTTATCGGAACGTGTTACCAACATAAAATTCGGGGGACAACTTGTTACGTCACATAGGTCAAAGAATGCTACACATGGGGTGTTTTCTGTACATGTGGGAGGGCACGGTTTGCCTGTCGGTTTGGGAATGCTCATCCATCGCCTTATTCTAGTGTGATTATGGGACTCTGAGTTAGCTTGTGTTCTGGTCACATTCAATTGGGGTGTTGTGGTTACATTTCGGTCTGGGCCTATTGACTTAATTTGTTGTATTTCCCAAAAGATTAGGGGAAATACTATCAGTGAGGCTAGTAATGCTAACACACATAGCACCTTGGGGTTTCCGTAGAACTCTATTGGCTTTCTTTGACTTAAGAGCTGGCACATGGTGTTAGCCTAAGTGTTGGGCTTAGTTACCGGTCAAATTGGTTTCTACAGGTTTTGATGCCAACTCTTTCAAATCAGTTCTAACTTCTCGTGAAGTCCGAGAAGGAGGATCAACGGGTGCACAATGTGTAAGGTGGTGCCAAATTGCTCCTTTTTTACCTTTTACTTGGACAGCATTTGAGGTGTATTCAGTTACCTCCCATGGTCCTGTCCAGCTTGGGTCAGCCCACTTTATCTTATGGAACCTTGACCTTGTCACCTCGTTGTACAGGAGTAGTGCCCTTCGGTGCTTCTGGGTCCTTCCCCACCTGTTGGCACGAAACTCGGGTAAGGTCATTCAAAACTTTCATGTAGTCGTCAGTCTCAATTTGCCACACATCCAACACTGGACCATGCCCCGTCTCCCTTGGAGGACCAGGCATGGGCCGACCCGTCAGCGACTCATGAGGTGATAAGCAGAGGTGGGAGTAAGTCCTACATGTGCAAGTCATGAGCAAGTCTCAAGTCTTGACCTTCAAGTATCAAGCAAGTCCCAAGTCACTGTGGTGAGAGTCAAGCAAGTAAAATCAAGTCATTGCTCAGGTCAAGCAAGTCAAGTCATACGAAATTCTGATGAATAAGCCCAGTTTCCGCATTTAAATCAGTTAAAAGACAGTGGTTATGAAAAGG